CAAATATGCTCAGAAAACAAAGGCTTAATATAAAAGTTTGCACAGATGCCATTGTTTTACGCTTTTTAACTCAGCAAAGTTCATAAAAGAAACCATGTTTCCAAAATATATAACTGCTGAAATACATAGTCTGAAAATACACCTTAAAAAGCTATTTATCTTTTAAAAAATATTTATTTTATTGGAAAGGCATATATACAGACAGAAGATACAGAGAGAAATATTTTCTATTCGTTGGTTCACTCCTGAAGTGTCTGCAACAGACAGAGCTAAGCTGATCCCAAACCAGCAGTTAGGAGCCTCCTCTGGGTCTCCCACCCAGGTGCAGGGTCCCAAGGCTTTGGGCCGTACTCTAGCGTTTTCCCAGGCCAAAGCAGGGAACTGGATGAGAAGTAGAGCAGCCAGGACACAAGCAGGCATCCACATGGGGTTCGAGTGCATGCAAGGCAAAGACTTTAGCTACTAGGCTAGCGCACTGGGCCCGAAGTTTTAAAACTTCTTTAGAAAATACAGTAAATACTGTGATCCCAGTTCTAAAATAAGTATAAAATGGAAATATACACATTAGATTTTTGGTAGTAATTTTTCCTAATTGTTTCAAATTTCTCCTTTAATTTTCTTAAAAATTTTCAATGACGCAGCACCCACTGGTTTGCAGATGAAGGAAGGCAGAGCAAATTGATCAACTATCCCAGGAAACTTAACAGCAAACTTTGGGACAAATGGAGACTGAATTGGACTGTGTCAGCCGCTGACCTTGGAAGGATTTCCTCATTCTTGGAGTGGCAATATCAACAGCATCTCAGAACTATCAAAGTCACTTCCTCTCTCCCTCAGAACATGCTCGACAACAGGGACCCTGTGATGACACTGGGTACTGGGGAAGCTGGTGTGGTCTCTCCCATTGTATCCTCTACTGCCCCAGATACAGGAAGAAGAAAATGTGGAAACAATGGTCATGCCCACTATCCCCTGATCCACCCACCCTGATCAACTAAGTAAGCATCATCAAAAATAAATTAAAAAAATTTTTTTCAATATAGCTCAACTGGTCAATCCTCCACCTACAAGTGCTGGGACTCCATGTGGGCACCAGCTCGTGTCTCAGTTGCTCCACTTCTCATTCAGCTTCCTGCTTGTAGCCTGCGAAAGCATGGCACTATGGCCCAAAGCATTGGGATCCTGCACCTGCACGAGAGACCTGGAAGAAGCTCCTGGCTCCTGGTTCCTGATCAGCTCAGCTAAAGTCTTTATAGCCATTTGAAAAATGAAACAGTGAATGGAAGATCTTTGTTGCAGCCTCTCTTTCCTGTTAATCTACACTTTCAATAAAAATTTCTTAAATATTTTCTTCAATGAAAATTCAAAATTACCTTTACACAGTCAAGAAAAATATTTACAATGACACCATTGTTTATTTTACATTATAAAAGAATAAGGAACCTAATGCATACATTTTTATAAAAGTATGAGGCTGCATGGTAATGAAATATGTCCATCTGATTTATGAGAAAATAAAAGTTTGAAAATGTCCACTTTTTCAATACAGAATGAAATTGTTTCTCTGTACAAGGACTCACTCTGCTGGTGACAGAGGAGAATATATTCTGACATTTCTGGATGTAAGTGCATATTTTCCACAAACACTAGAGGGCAGGATTCTTACAGCTGACCTCAATTTTATTTGTTATTTATATTCATACACACATACCTTGTATTTAGTTTGACACATATTATTTATATATCTTGTCTATATATTTTTAAATTGTACAGTTGAATAATGAGCATACATATAATCCCGTTCTCTGATATGACATTATCTGATTTTAAAATGGAATGACTGGGGCTGGTGTGATTGCTCAATTGACTAATCCTGCAATTGTAAGCCCCAGTATCCCATATGGGTATTGGTTCGTGTGCCAGCTGCTCCACTTCTGATCCAGTTCCCTGTTGACAGGCCTGGAAGGGAGAAGAGGACAGCCCAAAGCCGTGCGACCCTGCCCCTGTGTGCGAGTCATGGTGGAAGCTCCTAACTCTTGGCTTCAGATTGGGTCAGATATGCCTTCCCCATAAAAACAAATCCTTAAAAAAAATAAATAACTGGAATGATTAGCAATCACATTGAAACTCCAGAATCCTTTTGAGGCTGTGTTGCCAAAAACATACAGGGTCACCAGTTCACGTCCCAGCTGTTCTACTTGTCATCTGGCTCTCTGTTGGTAGCCTGGGAAAAGTACTTCAGTCCCCTACTTCCTATGTGTGAGACCTGGAAGAGGTCCTGGCTCCTGGCTCCTGGCTCTGGCCTGGTCCAGCCCTGGCTGTTACAATCATCTGTAGAATGAAAACAGCAAATGGAAGTTATCTTCCTCTCTCCCTCCCTGTAACTCTGACTTTCAAACAGATAAATCTTTTTTTTAAAGGCCCTTTACTTCTTTGTTACATTTGGATAAAATACTTATTATTTTGTAAAAACTAGCTAAGTGGACTCAGAATTATAGATCTCTAAAGGAACACTCAAATGCTTTTCTCTAGTTCTGAACACTAACATGCATGGGCCATGTGATATGTAACAGCAGTTGAAGAGAAGCTGAACAGGAAAATGACACTTCAAGAAGAAAGAACAGCAAGAGTAAAGCCTGATATCTCAAAATTACACAGTCTATTTGACTTCAGTGGTGACTACAATGAAGGGTGCACTGTGGAAAGAAGATGAAATTGGGAAAATAGGAGTCATTTTGGGAAGGATCCTTAAATTGCACTTAAGAGTTGAACAGTACTAGAAGGTAGTAAAAAAACCACTGAAGATAAGAGTTTTGACTACGTCTACTTTTTAAAAAAGTAACAGTATTCAGGGCAAACCAGAAGAGAAAGAGTTTGAAAGAAGGCAGACCAAGGAATCAAGTACACTGGCCAAGGCCTTACGCAGTGCAAAATCATGGGCAGTCCAGGAAGTAAAGAAGTCTTCTGATAGGATCCAGCACGATAGCCTAATGGCTAAAGTCCTTGCCTCCCATATGGGTGCTGGTTCTAATCCGAGCAGCCCCACTTCCCATTCAGCTCCCTGCTTGTGGCTTGGAAAAGCAGTTGAGGATGAACCAAAGTCTTGGGACCCTGCACCCATATGGGAGACCAGGAAGAAACTCCAGGCTCCTGGCTTCAGATCAGCATAGCTCCGACCACTACAGCCACTTGGGGAGCAAAACAACAGATGGAAGATCTTCCTCTCTGTCTCTCCTCCTCTCTGTATATCTGACTTTCCAATAAAAACAAAACAAAATAAATCTTAAAAAAAATACATAAGACTGGATTTGGTGAAGGTATAAATAAGGGTTTCAGCCTTGGTAGGTAGATGAATACTGATGAATTTAAGACAAGGCCTAGAGTTACAAACAAGGTGCTGTCTGAATCTAAGTAGAAAGATTTTACTATGAAGCTGGAAATGTTGATCCAGAATTCAGGGGAGATACATGCAAAAAAAAAAAATTAAGAGTAAAGTTTTTCTTGTAACTTAATTGTTCTCATTATGAAAGCCTCTTATCTCTTGTTGAAGTAACCGATGCGAAGAGGCAGAAAAAGAACATAAATGTGAATTAAGTACTACATCACATAGCACAATAAACCTGCCAACTGAATGACACGCATGTCAACTAAGGGAAGGTACTGCACTATTAGGTATAATTCTTTATCAGTTCAATTTATTAATTAATCATTTATCCACCTCAGACACATAAAAAACTATCAACAAGTATATGTCTATATTTCATACAGAGATAAGAACTGGCTTAAAAAATTAAATAACAAACATAGAAGCACCAGATACATTCACATAACATTTGTAGTGAGTTTAAAAATGTTAGACATTATTTTATAGAATTCGAAAAAATACATGGAAGCATACTAATAATGAAAGGCAATGATTACTGATAATGAAAATACCAATGATTACTGGTAACTATCATTTACAGTCTGAAATACATGTCTTTACAATCTGTCCATGAGGTGAGCTGGAGACGATAACAAGTTACTAATAAAGCAACACAGATAAAAATACTATGCAAGATTGATTAATCAAATATATGCAAACAGTGGAGTATCGTGCAGCTGCCAACTTATAAGCAAGCTCTCTATGTATGTGCAGATATGGAATGATCACCAAGACATAGCCATGAGCCCAAAACACAAAGGTAAGAACAGCAAAGCAAACGTGTGAAACAAGAAAATTTATCACATACAAAAGAACTTATTTCCTAGTCTTCACCAACAGTAACACCTTCCACCCCCAATAAATGGTCCAGCTTATTTACAAAACACAGAATCGTCTGTTTTTATGTTTTAATATTTAGATATTTATATTATATTAACACTATAACTATATGTTATATAATATATAACATATTAATATATAATTATATTGCTATATTATATCTTTATATTTAAAACTGGAACTTTCTCGGCATGAATAAACTGGATTAGAACACTGCCTGGTGAATCTTCTGAATCTTGCTGAAAACATAGAAAATATGTCTCAAATAAATTTGATACCATTTCATTATCAAAAGCATCAAATTTGTTCTAGGCACTTAAATTGGGGTCCATGGTTGCTTGTTAACATACACAAAATTTAAATCCCAAGGAAAAGTATAGTCCAATTGTCAGCTTTATATACAGATCTAGTAAAACTTTTCAAATTTGGACAGGAATTTTGCCTTCACAAAATTTTAATGAAATTCTACTCCAAAAAGAACAATGGGCATCAATTTCTCAGTTCTTACATAACTCCTAGAACTTCAATTTTTACAAAACAATGTGGAATTTTAAATGTTCTTTTCCATTTATGTAAAGGTCAGGTTCTGAAGATGAAAACCTTTGTACTTTATGAATTATATGCTGGGAACCTCCTGAACACATCTCATAAGCAGCCATTTTGCCTCTAGCTATTTTCAACATATTTGGAACGAGCTAAAACAAAAACAGAAACAAGAAAATCTGGGAACACTTACTTGAACCTGGCAGGTGAAAGAGGAGTAGGAGGAAACATTCCTGGTTCAAAAGAATCAAAGTAAGTCACTGTCCAGGAAAAGCTGCAGCAGGAGAATCCAGCAGCGAGGGATATTGTAAGCAGAGTCCAGAATCCTTAATGGGAAGAGAGACAGGAAAGCTCAATCAGTGCTGTGACTGAATTAAATCAGTATCCTCATGTTCAGATCACGTGTATTTTTTACATTCTGAACTTCATTTAACCAGTAAGATACCTGAACTCAGCACAAACTAACCCACATAGAAGTATATCTTACTAAAATACAATTGGAAAGCATATTATCCAATGTTTTGATTGAAATACAATTAGTATGTGTGAAAGGGGACAAAGTCAAGAACATAGCATATTCAGTTTTGTCAAATTTAAAAAGTCATTTATAACCTTGGAGAGAAGACAGTTTTTCTAACCATGATACAAAATTCATGAAATACTTAAAATCCATAAATTCAAGTATATATTACACACTATTAAATTTGCATGGTAAAGGTGAAATGTCAAATTAAATAACCAGTTTCAAATAAAATATTTGCAGCATATAAAAAAATTTTTGTAATACAGAATTCACAGTAACCAGTGCAAAAAAGACAAGCAACTTAAATATTCAAAATGAAAACAAGCGAAGGATACTATGGAAGAAAAGAATGTTAACCATGAATAGATACTCGATCCATTATAATTATTAATTGGAGAAATTATCATTGTCATTCTCAATTGTGAAAAATCTAAAAACCCAGTAACATTCACTGATGCTGAGAATAAACAAACTGTTCATGTATGGCTGTAACCTTTGTGGACAACAATTTGGCAGTATCTGCTAAAATGGCACACATAGTTCCAAGTATACTTCAATTCAGTAATTCTTCCAGATATGTGCTTAAACATAAGCTTTTGTAGAAAATGATACAAGATTGGTCTCTACAGGACTCTTTGATTATAATAACAAACACCTTTTACAAGCTAAATGCCCGGTTTTCCAGAAGAATGCATTCCAAGACACCCAGTGGATACGTGAAAATACAGTTAGCATCCTACACATCCATAGCTATAAAATCTAATTTGTACATTAGGCACAGTAAGAGATTAACAGAAGGGAAACATAAATTTATGTGAAATGGTTTCTTTCAAAAAGGATAACCTGAACACAACCACTATGAAACACAGCAGCCTTTGGATAACAGACTTGCTGACAAAAAGATTCAGGTCCTGGCACAGTAGCCGAATGGCTGAAGCCCTTGCCTTGCATGCACGTGGATCCCATACGGGCCGAGCTTCCCATCCAGCTCCGTGTTTGTGGCCTGAGAAAGCAGTAGAGGATGGCCCTGTACTGCAGCCCTCCCTGTACCTGTATAGGAGACACGAAAGAAGCACCTGGCTTCGGAATAGGTGAGTTTGGGCCATTATGGCCTCTTGGGGGGTGAACTAGAGGACAGAAGACTTTTCTCCATGTATCTCCTCTCTGTAAATCTGCCCTTCCAATAAAAATGAATCTTACACACACACACACACACACACACACACACACACACACACACACAGGTACATAGCAAAGGAGAAATTGCTTGAGTAACTGATTTCCATGTTGTAAAATAGTTATGGCAGAGCCGAGCATGTTGTGTCCCAGCTGTTCCATTTCCTTCCAGCTCCCTGCCTGTGGCCTGGGAAAGCAGTTGGACTGCCCAGAGCCTTGGGACCATGCACCTGTGTGGGGGACCCAGAAGCAGCTTGATGCTTCTGGTTTCAGATCAGCTCAAATCTGGTGCCTGCAGACACTTGGAGAGCAAACCAGCGGACAGAGGACCTGTCTGTCTATCCTTCTCTCTGTACATCTGCCTTTCAATGGAAATAAATATTAAAAAAAATAGTTATGGGGCTCAGCACTATAGCCTAGTGGTCTAAATCCTTGCCTTGCACGTATTGGGATCTTATATGGGCGCTGGTTCTAATCCCAGCCGCCCTGCTTCCCATCCAGCTCCCTGCTGGTGGCCTGGGGTAACAATGGAGGATGGCCCAAAGCCTTTGCACTCTGCACCTGTGTGGGAGACCAGGAAAAAGCTCCAGGCTTCTGGCTGCAGATTGGCTCAGTTCTGGCTGTTGCAGACACTTTAGGAGTGAATCAGCAGATGGAAGATCTTCCTCTATGTCTCTCTGTCTATATATATTTCTAATAAAAGTAAAAAAATAAATCTAAAAAAAAAATAGTTCTGGTAACTAGGATACAGAGACCAAAAAGAGTTGATCACTTACACATAAGTGCTTTTGTAGAACCGGAGTTTTCTATACTCGAGAAAACTTTTTCATGCTTGTTTGAAGGATATCCTGTAAAGGGGATTTTGCTGTTACAGATGCCTGGAGAAGCCATCTACAGGACACACACACGAGATAGAAACCCAGTGTGTAAGGCACATTCTGCTTCTGCTGAACAGCAGGATCTAGCCTGCAGATGCCTCTGCACTAATCAGCAAAGGAACAGAAGACCTGACTCAAAAGCTGCTGCGTCAAACCGGTGCTCTATGATGCTGAAAGGTGTTTCAAAGAAATTCATTTGAGGAGCAGATTATTTCCATTCCCAACAATCTCAATAGTGTTAGCTTCTAGAACCTGTTTCCAAAGTGCCTGCTAAGCTGATAAGAGAATCAAAACTAATTAAGACTTAGAGCACAACTACAATTTAGAATGGCTATACTGCTACACAGCTGTTATCACACCAATCCATCTAAATAGGAGAAACTAATTTTGTTTAAAGTAATATGCAAAGCATCTAGTACAAAGACAGTAACTAACATAAAAAAAAATCAAGTATTTTTTGGGGATCACTACAAAATGATTAAAAGTTAGAAATATCCAGAAAAGGAATCATACTGTATTTAAAAATAGCCCAATGAGAGGCTCTCTAAAGTCCACAAGCCTTTTTACTTAGGTGCTTCAACATACTGCCTGTGAGGTTTAAATCAAGCACATTCTTGAGACTTTTTAAAAATAAAATTACAGTCTTGCACAAACAAGTGCTTATCTTACACTTAACATTTTAATTAACTTATATTCATTTTGAACTTAGCAGAAGTTGCTCTACTGATAAAAGTCATGTCATAATGACTTGGCCAAAAACAGTACAACGTAATATTGTGGTCTAGGAGTATTTACAAATCCTGAAAATTACTCAACTCATTTATGAGCCAGCAGAAAGCCAAAGTTGAAGCTCCTCCAACAACCAAATTTGCTGCAGGTCAGTTTCCCTAGAATCTTGAAATTAGCATTTGCTAATGTTTTATAAACCCATTTTATGAACTCAAAATTTTAAAAGGATATGAAAATAAAAGCACACAAAAATGAAGTTTCCTTTCTGTTATACTCTTAAAAGGAATTCCACTGGGAGTCTGTTAGGCATCTTTCTGAAAATTATGTAACTAGGTGACTGAGTTTATATATTTAAGCAGTTATGAATATTTGAGCATATAATTTTATCAGCCTATTTTCCACAGAATTTCTAGGCAGGAAACTTGTTTTGTGCTTTTCATAACATCCTATGAGAGAGCTCTGATATCAGTAAACACAGCCACAGTTCTGTTAAAGACCTTTTTTATTCTAATTTTTCACTATTAAAAACAGTATGTATTGGAATTTCAATGTACAGTTATACAAGAATATGTGTGATAAGTTTCCAGCAGCTGAACTGCTATCAAAGGATACAGACTGTGAAACAAGTTTTTTTTCCCATCAGGATTTTGCTCAATATTCATCAGTTGATGGAATGGTGGCAATTCATCTATTTCATCAAATGCGATCTGGTCTCAATGTTGCTCCAAAAGGAATGACAGGGAAAGATGTGCATTTCCTTTTCCAACCCCTGTACTGCAATTTTACATTCATCTACATAAGGGTACATTTTGTTCTGCTCCAATTTTCAAGTTGCTTTGGTAGTATTTATTTTAAAAAAAAAATAAACTCATAACTTTCTGCATTTCTATAAAATCTTCTGACAAAGACTATTTTATGCATTTTCATTCTGCTGAATGAATTTCATTCGGGTATAAGGAGGTGCAAATTTAAGTGTTTTATGAAATCAGAAATGCCCTCACTAGCCCATATTACATGTAGGCAGAAAATAAATATCAACCAAAAAACCTCTTTAGAACTCCCACGCTTCTTGAACTGGAAAGATTTATCACTGAAGGTCTGTTATAGTCACTTGTACATAGTTTACAAAACTTCCCCCATTCATAAGTAAATTGTGGGACCAAGTTTAAATGCCTACTGTTACACTTTAGACCTTCTCACTCACATTTGAAATGTTTGTTAAGTTGGTATATCCTAGGAAACACAAAGCAATGAAAGAGGCAGATCACCAGCACATTCAGAATGAATGTCAAGATGTTTTGATGAAATTCAGAGAATGTAAAATTCTAATTATGTTTTCTTGTAAATGAATGTTTGCAAATGAGCAGAAAACGTGGTAAGCCACAAAGGCAAATCATAGGACATGTTTCACTGTTAGAATTTTTTCCCATTTAAATCCATTTAAATCTAATAACACATAACATTTTTGTGTTCACATGTATCTGTAAATGCTTATGTAAGCAGATTTTCTCAAAATCAATTTCTACTGTATCCTAACCTAAGATGTAAGACAGGTATTTGACTAATCTGGTATTTTCCATAAACTAAATTATTTTTGGTATTCAAAATCCTGGAGCAATGTGTTCTAGACAGCAGGACACAAACTAGAAAGTTCTGAATCTTCTAACTTCTTTCCAGGTACAAGATTAAAGGAAAGTGATCTCTTCTCTCCTCCCTGTGTGACACTGACTGGCACAACAGACACTCAGGAGCCACAATGGTAAAGTCCTCTACCCATCTAGCTGCCCACTTGCAATTCAGCATGTAGCAACTCTTTCTTTCCTGCTGAAAAAATGAGGAAGATGAGTGGACATTCAGACCACTCAGTAATTGATATTTGACAAATATCACTCAGTTTCCAACCCTGGTGAAATAATAGATTCAAATGGGAAACTATAATAAAGGAAAACATTTTTATTAGGAATAATCTCAAGTAGCTAAAAAATGCTGAAAGAGCAAGATGAACCACATATGTACTAAACATCATAGGCTTTAAACAATAAATTTATGGTTATCCTTGTTAAACACAAACGATCTTCTATCTGTAGTACCCCAGGGAAAAGTCATCACTATTCATCATTTAGGTACAACAGGCAATTTTTATTTATTTTTTAACTCAGTTGATCAAGAATTTACAAAATAAAAAGACAGCAGAGAAATATCAGAAATTTTATAACGGGTCAACACTAAAATGCCATAATGCCAGTTAGATTTATGAAAGTGCCAATATGTCTTCCCAAAAATACAACCCTTTCTTTTGATTGTTGAGAAGACTGAACAAGTCATGAAATTTTTATTTTTACAAATAAACTAAAAGTGAGTCTTTCCAATAAAAATAAATCCCTGTTATCACACTGCATACTAAGGCATACAGCCAATTACTTAAGCGACTTCGATTAAGTAAAGACATGGTCTAAGATTGTATAAAGTCAAAATCTTCAGGGTTCTGCTTTGATATGAGGTTTGTGACTTAAGAGCTTAACATACGACCACCACTGACAACAGTGGCAATCCAAATGGGTGCTGGTTCAAGTCCGGTATGTTCCACTTCAATCTCACCTGGCCCAGCAGTTGAAGCCATTTGGGGAGTGTACCTGCAGATGAGAGAGCACTCTACCTGTAACTCTTTGAAATAAACAAATCGTAAACAAACAAACAAAAAACCCAAAAACACTAAACTACAATTTACTACAAATCCGGTCCTAGCCAAAAAAGGGATCAGATATTAACTACATGCCAAGGAATGCCAGACAACAATGCAACAATGTCAGGCTCAAAAACTTCAAAGCAAGAACTCCAGACTAATATTATAATAACTGGGTGTAACACTGACTACTTACAATAAATGTATAAAAAACACTAATACTAACCCAATGTTGTGGCATAGAGTGGGTTAAGCCACTGCCGTTAATGTCAGCATCTCATATGGATGCTGGTTCATGTTCCAGTTGCTCCACTTGTGGACTAGCAGATGGAAGGTATCTGTTTATAAGTCTCACCTTTGAAATAAATGAATCCTGAAAAAAAAAAAAAATCTAGTAATGTGTATTTTTCCAAAGATTTAAATCTTGCAACCACTGGTTCACTCCCCAAGTGGCCGCACATGGGATCAGCTCCTGAACTGAGCCAAAGCCAGGAGGTTCTTCTGGGTTTCCCATGTGGGTGCAAGGTCCCAAGGCCTTGGGCCGTCCTCTACTCTTTCCCAGGCCACAAGCAGAGAGTTGGTTGGGAAGTAGAGCAGCCAGACAAGGCACGCAAAACAAGGATTTAGCCACTGGGCCATATGTATAACTTACAATAAAACTGTGAATTATGTATATTCTGCTAAAGAAATTTCTATTTTTCCTTTGTTCTTCTTTCAAATTTACCTCAAGCAGAAGGTAATTTTATTCCCTTTGCTATACCTTCGAGGATATTAACCTGGAGAAAAAAAAGGCAAGGTTGGAAATAGGATTCAGGTTAATAAATGTGATAAAATTTGGTGAAATAGGAGAGATGTAGAAGCCAATGTGCTGAAATAACAGCTCAAAGGTATACATGACTCATGAAACCAACTGAACCTGCAAATAACCTTAAAGAAAAATGCCTGGGATGTGATTTCCACTGATGTTTATAATCTCAATTTAAAATTCAAATAAAATAAGTAGGTGATGGTATACTGGGGATTATTGACAGCCCAAACTTAAAGGCAATAAGATTGTTTAAAAGTGGGGAAGTAGAAAGGTATTGAGCAAGCCTTTCATTCAGGTAACAATTCCCACTCACTATATTCATAGATTTGAAATCTGATGCCTTTAAGTAGTAGGTTAGAATTCATGCCTAGTTTGTCTGTTTCTGTTCTACAAGAAATGATGCATCAACAACTGCTATTTATTGTGGAGAAGAAATAAAAACACACATTGATAAAATGAGTACAGACTGTACCTTTTCTCATGCAGTAAGCTCAATACACAGCCAAAAGTTTCCAGTGATATCTAGCATGATAACTTCTGTCCAACTTGACCATAAAAGTTTCCCCTCCAAAACCTGACAGACTATACACTGTTTCACTTTGAGGGCAGCAGCCCTGAAGAAGCAAACTGAAGTATTGAGAAGGACTGGGGGAGGGAGCAGATCCCAGGGTAGACATCATAGAATGAGTGCACTGATGAAAGAAAAATTAGTTCCCCCTTCAAATTTATAAAGACAAAATCAAATGAATTTTAGCAAACAGGATTAAAATACAGTTCTGAACTCATTTTACACAAACAGCTCTCTCATGCCTGTTATAAAATTACAGAAAATCTTAAGACACAAGGGGTTTGCATAAATGTAAAATGGAAGTGATACCATTTATCAAACACAAATTTAAAAACATGACAGAACTGCCTGCACATGGTGCATAAAGTACTTTATAACAAATTTTATAGTTTAAAAGTGACCTGGAGAAACAAAAGTTGGATGTAAAATCAAATCTAGTGACAATTAATTCCATACCTAATATCCCAGAGTCTACACCATCTTCATTTTTCAAATTCTCAGCATGCAACTCTGTAAACACAAAGAGGGACTTAGGTGGAAAAGCGAGATTATTTGCAAACTCGGAGAGCATTTCAAGGGTAAGAAGTCTGAGGAGCTGTGGCATGTGCTCTGCAGCCAGCAGTGGGTTCAACTTCTCATACAATTAACTAGCAAAGAGAGCCACTAGAGAAGGCATCCACCATATATATTAAATGGGAGGCATGTTTATTCCCCAGGAAGACATTTTATCTAACACAAAGTAAAGGGCAGTTCAAGTTTTGAGTTCAGTTCCTTTCTCTGTTCTCTAAGACAAGCAGAATTCAATGCTTTCTACTGCAAGTTTGTACTTGCTGTGATTTTTATGATTTTATGCTATAAAGGCAATCTGGGCAAAGATGGAAATATCAGGATACAAAAGGCAAAAAAGGGAGAAGGGGAATGACCCAGAGTCACATACTGGCAGTCAAACATTTAAAAAAGGGGCTATTGGATAAAGAGGTAAACCCAATAGGTTAACTTCCCAATCTGTCTGCTGCTTTAAAATCAAACGTAGTAAACACTGAAGTGTCATCTGCAACACAGTAGGGCTACCAAATACTGAAGAAAAATGAAAACCAGAATGAAACTGATTTTACGCAGTGATGAATATGTAAATAGCAATGTACAGGCTGCTTTCATACAACACAGCTCTTTCAAATTCTTTTCCTTTCCGTGACTCAGCTACTGAGATTTCAACTCGTCTGATTTGTTTCACTTTACAACATTCTACCACCATTGAATTAGTACATAGGTTTGGATTTAAGAAATCTTCAAAAAAAACACTTGTTTTTATTCCAACCTTGCCAGTATTTCTACTTCATAGACGGGAGAATAAAATTGCAGAAAGAATAGCTTATGTTTCATGCACCAAAACTTTGCATCCCAATTTGAAGAGAAGCTGAAAAGACTTCATCTACGGAAGTTGACTTTCGGACTGTGGAACAAACTCCATGTCCTTCAAAAATCCCATGCAGTACTGGTGGAGCACACACCTTCAAGCATTCGTGCACTAGAGCTTCAACACTGCCCATTTAATCACATGCACTTTCCGCCGTCGAGTAGGTGGCGGCCCGCAGCCTGCCTGAATTAACTCTGCATCACAGGTTCAACGATTTAGGGACTCATTCTTGAAATGCATCTCCTGATCCTGGGCCAGGGCCCTCTACCTAGGAAGACCGGACAAGCAGGCAAAAACCGAGCAAGGTGTGCACAGAGCTGGGGAGGGCGCGGCTGCACGCCAGAGCTCCGAGGCAGGGCGGGGCCGAGCGGGCTGGGATGAATGCTGCGCCCCGGGCCATCTGTGCTCGGGACAGACTACCAACCCGGGCTTCGATACCTTTAACGACCAGGTAGACGATGGCGAGGAGAAAGGCGAGGATGACGGCGAAGAGCAGCGAGCACAGAACAGAAAGGACCTGGACTGGCCAGCGCCGAGCCCTGGTTCGGATGCCCGCAGCCGCAGGGAAGATGCCATTGCGCTTATCCGGTAGGACCGGCGAGCCGTCCCCATCCGGCGGGAACCGACAGCCCCTCTTGGGCTCCGACGACGCCCCGGCCGAGAACTCGGCCCTCAAGTCGCGGGCCACTGGGTCACAGCCCTGCTCGTCGTCCACTTCCCCCTTTCCCCAACGGTCTCCCTGAGCAAGGGTGGAGTACTGCGACGAGAGCAGCGCCGCAGCCCCCAGGCGTCGGAGCCGCGGCGCCGTCCGCCTCCCGCTCTCCACAAAGGACATGGCGGGAAAGACGCCGAGAGCCGCCGGGGGCGAACGACTCCCGCTCGCCCCGCCCCGCGACCGCGACAGCCAATCAGCGACAGGGGCGCCTCCGCGGCCTCCACCAACCGGGCCAGCGAGCGGGGGTGTCCCGTGGGGCAGAGCGGGAACGGCGGGCTCCCCGGCACCAAAGCCCCGACTAAGGGCCGTGGGTGAGAGGGGGAACAGGATGACGGGCAGGAAGAGGCCAGCTGAGGCCGAAGGGAGCCATGTATCCGGTCCCCGACCCGCTAGGGTCTCGCCGCGGAGCGTCGCGCCGTCTCCATGCTTAGGGCGCGCCACAACAATCCAGGAGCGCCAAGGCTATAAAGCTGGCGCATGCGCCGTTCCCTGCACCAGGCGCGCAGCTCGACTCCGCCCCGCCCCAAGAGTGGTGCGCGCGCACCCCTCCCGTCATCGCTCCTCCTACTAGCTGCCCGGCCCGCCCTCATCCCAGCCTGCCTAGGGCGGCTTCGGGGGCGGGGGAAGCGACCGTCCCTACTGTCCCACCCTGGCAGAGTGAAGCAAGGCAGGGGAACAAGAGGCACGTTTGTCTTCTTCTCCCCAAGGGAAGTTGGTCAAGAGTCTTCCCGGCAAAAGACTCGTCTCAGAAAACTTCCTCCGTCTCCTCCCCGCCCGCAGCAACCCGCTCCTTGCAGGCGACGCCGAGTGAGGCTGGGGCCGCGGGAACCAATGGCTGCAAGGCAGCTTGTCTCTGCCTTACCCTGATTGGAAAACGGGAAAGCTCGTCAGCTTCCTGGCCCCGCTGGTCCCGCCCCGTAGTGCAGGGTAGCCTTTCCCCTTTGGCCCCTGCGAGCGCCAGCCACTCAGAGCGCGTCTTGTTGGTATGTGTAGCGGCAGTGGCCGCCGGCCGAGCAGTCTGAGCCCGACGATGAGGCCGGGAACTGGAGCCGAGCGTGGAGGCCTCATGGTGAGAGAAATGGAGAACTTGCGTCCCTCGCGGGGTCCGGGGTGCGAGGAGGGACGGTGGTCCGGGTCCCACCTCCGCTGCAGCTCTGAGGTGTCTGCCGACGGCTTCCTCGGGCGACAGGCCTCCTTCGGGTAGAGCTCGGAGCTGTTAGGGGGCAGGCGGCACAATGAAAGCTGGGCAGGACTGGGAGTGGTGGAGGGACGTGCTCCGGGGCGGGATGGCGGGGAGAGTGCCATGCGGGAAGGCGGCGGGCCCCGTGGAGTAGGGTGGTGGGCTCGGCCCGTGCCGGCCTTGGGCGGGGCGGCCGTCCGGAGCCGCAAGCCCGGAGGGGTCGGGGTTGGGACGCTCGGACAAGCTTCTGGGGCGCCTGCAAGAAGGTTGCGTTTCCGCCTGACGCGGTTGTGGGCTGCAGGTCTGCAGGGGAGAGCTCTGGCAGAACTGACCTGGAACAATGGACTCACGCGGAGAAAGTCTGTCAAACGTTCATTACTGTGGTTGAACCAGGCACCCTGTTATATTGCTAGCCTTTGGAAATGTGTGTTTGGCGGAAGAAATTGTACCCGTCCTGAAGGTTAGGATAGGCATGGAGTGTCTCCGAGTACCTTACTGTGCGTTCTGTAAGACACGGCTTCATCGAAATTAATTTGACAAGCACAAAGTTTTTAAAGTTTCAAATCGGTGGCATTGTAAAAAGTCAGCTGGCTTGTCTTACAAATTTATGTGAAATAGGATAAAGATGTGATTTTCATCATAAAACTTTCAACCAGCATTGGATGCCTGTTATCCAGGCCATTCTGTGAACGATTTAAATCAGTGCTTAAAGCAAGGGGGGAGGAAAGCAGGCTGATCTGACCTCCAGCAACGGTTGAAACCTTTCCCATTTTGTTAGGGAACTTGCAAGTTCATTCTTAGTGAAATGCATCCAACAGTAGCCTAATACATACCACTACAGGTAAGTGATTTCTTAAAGTCTGATTTCAGAGACCCATTGTTACTTGGTAATTTTAAAATATTCTATGTTTTTCAGATGGGCCACCCTGGCATGCATTATGCCCCAATGGGAATGCACCCTATGGGTCAGAGAGCAAATATGCCTCCTGTACCTCATGGAATGATGCCACAGATGATGCCCCCCATGGGAGGGCCGCCAATGGGACAAGTAAGAATGTTATGTTTTTTTCTTTTGTGTGCTATCTGTTCGTGCATTTTTTCCCCCCACAGGTATTATGTCTCCATTTAAAAATGTTAAATCAATACAATACTTGTAGTTGGTTGAGGATTGATTTATGCCCATATAATATTTTCTGATGAGACACATGATGACTCAACATTGTAATTAAATTTCAAATGTAATGAAATATTGTTCTGCATTAAAAGTTACATACTGACTACCTCAACAAAATTCTTTCCTAGGTAACTATACACGTAGGCTTTTTTATTTGAAGTTCTTTTTTTTTTTCTCCCAAGCATGTCAGTTGGAGTTACTGCTTTGAAAGTGTAAATATCGTATAAAATGTCAGCTTTATATTTTGGTGGACTGTGTAATTACATAAACTGAAAATAGCAAATGTTTAAGTTTTTGATGTACATTGTGTTGAGTGGTGAGGGAGGGTTGGGAAATTACTGATCTATAATTCTGATTCCTCAGAGCAATGCCAAATAGGCAGTTCATTTTCAAATTATAAAGACTGTTTTGATTTTTTTTTTTTTTTAATGTTTATTACTTCTGCACTCCTGCTTTGGAGCTATCCCTGACATCTCTAGTATAAATTTTAAATGCATTGTTTTGTGGGAGTGATTGAGATCAGAAGGTTTGTGCTGACTCAGTAGCATCAGTAGAACTGAGTTAGTTAACTGTATTTTGTAGAATTGAATTTCTCGAGACGCATCCTAGAAAAGTAACATTCAGTTGCCATGACTAATTTTACACCCAATGTTATTAGGTTCTTTAATACACAGGTCCTTAGTTGGGTTATTTCTATTTGTCTCAATAAATCAGTAATTTAGGTTAACAGAAGTATTTTGAAAAGGCCATTTGGTGTGACCTCTTGTTGATTAGTATTACTGAACATGTAAGTATTTAAGCCTTGATGGTTAAAGTTACTAGTGAAATTGCAGTGATGGAAGGAGTATGTTATGTTTTTCTCTTTTTACTTAATCTGAAGAGTGAAAGGGCTCAATGTCAAGCTCTTGTCTTTTTTGTTTGAAATACAGCCCTTAATCTACATAAAAACTTTATTCATAGGCACCAGACCCAAAAGATTCTGCCTGCAGGTGTTCTTTAATTAAAAGAGTCTTTTATTCTGTTACTGTAGATTAACACAAGTTTTAAAAATCCCTAGGTGATGCAGAAACAACTCTGATTCTTCTTCTGTATCTTTCCATCTCTAACCTGCAAGGAGCTCTTCTTGTTTTCTTGGTAGAGCTGCTCTAACTAGATAATGAGCTTTAAAAAATATATTTATCCTTTAAATGCTCTGGTTCTTATTTAAAATTAGTTTCTTTCCACAGAAAGATAAAATAAAACAATTTGCTACTGCCAGATGCTTCTCTCTTTTCTGGGGCCTTCTGTTTCCATTGGGCCAATCAAGGTAAGTTTGCAAGGGATTGACCTGCTTACCCTTGCTGTAATGGTGCTAGTGCAGTACCAAAACCAAAATACCAGCTAGTTGTTTCTAGTAAAATGCAGATTTTATTTTTCTAAAGTACTTTTGTTTGTCTCATTGACATAAGCTGGTCACAGTTTGCTTTATGGCCCTTTCTCTTTAGCTATTTCAGTGACCATCTTCCTCCTAAGTTTTACTTGCAACTTCGTACACTTCCATTCAGATACTCTGAATTTTTGCCTTGTGGTTTTCTTCTACTTTTTTCCTAGGCCAATATATGTCACGTGACTTTACATGTACCTGCTTGTTTATATGCTGGATTTCTTTTTCCTGCTGTTGTTGGCTCCTAATAAGATAATGGATGTTTTAGAAGTCCAGCTCTGAGGAGCCTCAGACAATCTTTACTGCTTATCTCAAAGTTAGACTGTTCTCAGTATTTTTTTTCCTAAATACATAACTGACAAGTGTGGGCCCCAAATCTTGGGGAAGCTATTTCTACTAGCTTAACAGATGGGGAGAGCATGGTTAATTTGAGTCTTCAAATCATTGAGAAATCTTAGCACAAGTAAAATAAATAAACCAATAACTAGAAACATTGATCCATTTTCTGCATCATTTCTTCTGTCTGCACAGTCCTGTGTTGGTGAACAGTAATTGTCAGAAGAGAACTGACACATAGCAGCCAGGGGTGAAAGGGTTCTGCCATCTAGTTTTGAGTTAGTTGACTAAATCTTTAGGCTTTTAGGCTTTGGGATTACAGATTATATAACCTTCATTTACGATTGACCCTCTATTTGTAGCTCCTCTACAACCATGGGGTGAAAATATTTGAGGGGAAAGTTTTCTCTCTACTGAACTTGTACAGATTTTTTTCTTGTCTGCATTCTCAGTAGAGTGTAGCATCTATATACGTAGCTTTGAATTGTATAGGATCTGGAGAAGTAATGCAGTGATGATACGAAGTACATGGAAGGATGTACATAAATTATGTGCTAGTGCTTTGCCATGTATAAGGAACTTGAACACCCATGAATTTTGGTGTCTGCAAGGGGTTCTAGGACCAGTATGTTGTGGAAAGCAAGGGGTGATGACTGTTTTCACAGTTCATTAAGATGTCATACTGGAACCATTAGAAGATTAACAATGGTGTCAGTTTTATTTGTTATGTGATCATTGGAATGTTACTGAATCTGACATCAAATTTAAATTTTAGTTTACAATCAAATTTGATTATAAACTGATATGTGACTAAACAGAAGAATAATGATCTGGGGAAGCTAGAGTTTTGTGATTTTTTTTTTCAAACATAACAAGTTACTTACAAAAGAGAACTTTCTTTTTTTAAGATTTATTTATTTTTTTTTATTGGAAAGTCAAATTTACAGAGAGGAGAGACAGAGAAAGGTCTTTTGTCTGCTGGTTCACTCTCCAAATGGCCATAATGACTGGAGCTGAGCCGATCAGGAGCCAGGAGCGTATTCTAGGTCTGTCATGCTGGTGTAGGGTCCCAAGACTTTTGGCTGTGCTTAACTGCTTTCCTAGGCCAAAATCAGGAAGCTGGATGGGAAATGGAGCAGCTGGGACTTCAACCGGCGTCCATATTGGATCCCAGTGTGTGCAAGGCGAGGAGTTTAGCCACTAGGCTATTGTGGCTGGCCTAAATTCTTGTTTTTACCAAAAACAAAAAAAAAAATATAATTGAAACTGGATAAGAATAAATATATGAAAACATCAAATAGGGCTTTATGGTATTTCTTTCAGATTTATCTTATTTTGAAAACATCAAATAGGGCTTTATGATCTTTCAGGTGTATCTTATGAGCTTGTAGGTTGTTTCCCTCTTACTGTAAATAGTTTGACAAGGTTCTACTTTTACAAGATTATAGGCTCTTATTGCTGGAAGAGACCTTACATGTTGTAAATAATTTGGCAGTAATTTAAAGGATGATTTTTTTTTTTAGAAGGACTATTGTAAAAATTATTGGTAAAGGTATTTTTCCCTGCATAGTAGCAATACAGAAAAATTCGATAACTATTTGAAGCACGGTTAAGTGTGTTTTTTCCTCCATCTGTCATAAATAATATTTGACTTTAAACTATAGTCATGTCTTCCTGTACTTTCTACACCAGAAACAGATACGGTCTGCTATCTTTATCATTGATGATTTCACCTTTGCCCAAGGTGGTACCAGAAGGTTGTTTTTTTCTTATTCTTTTAAGTCTTATTAATTTGGGGAGCAGTAGATCAGGGAACTCAAGGACTGCTTCAGCTTTAGCAGCCTTTGATGGAAGTCACATCATTTGATAAGAAGAGTACATAATACATTTTATGTTTTGATAACAAAAATAAAGTAAATATAATTCTGCTTTAGTCAGTACTTTTTTATTGTCTTTGTCAAAAAGTGACAGTCTTTTGCAAATGAGTTTGATTTTCTTGTTATATTGAGTGAGACAGGTTCTAATAGACCTCACTTTATTTCTGCTTCTGCTGCTAGCTGGGCTCAAAATCATGGTCCTGTTCCTAGGATATGTCACGATTTTTGAGCTGATTTCTTGCTCCTGTCACTCCCCTTTCATCACAATACTAGATTTCAGTTTCTGATCTCCTTGCCCAAGAATGTCATGTGTTTTATTGTGCCTTTAGCATAGCATCTAAGTTCCAGTACTTTGCTTATAGAGATTTACTTTAGTTGTGTGAAGGCAGGATTCAAAGATGCATGTCTTCATTCTCAATTTGAACTTAGGCTGGTGTCTAGGTGATTATATGACTGTTAGTTCCTGACTTCAAACTGTGTTCTTCTTAAACCCCTACCTGGTTCAATATCACCATGAACTTTCATTTTCTTAACAAAGTTCTATCATTTCAAGTTCTGCCTTTTCTTGGGGTTCTCAAAAATAATTTTGGCCAATATATACATTCCTTTCAAGTTACTGGAGAAAATTCCATGTAATCTGCCCATTTGTTACTATTTTCATTTTATTTCTGACACTGGGTTAATGACTTGTCATAATGTTTCCTATTTGTTTTGCTTTCCCAAAAAATAATAGATTGTAAGCTCTTGGAGGGCAGAAACTAGGTTTTGTAATTTTTAAGGTGTATGTAGTTCCTTACCATAATTGTTGGCCCATTGTTCTTGCTCAGTAAGATACTTGTTGAATGAATGAAGCAATTACTCTGCTACATTATATCCAGTGATCAGTGTTACCTTTGTTGGTTTGTAGTGATTATTTTTGACTTTACCTACCACCTTTTACTGTTGCTTTATCAATCTAATTTTCCAATTGAAATAATATCTTTTAAAGAAAAACAAGTGTAAGTTAAAGTTGGTAGTTTTTGCTTAATTGAATACAACTTATTTCTACTTTAAATTATAAGCTGATGTGTTCCTGTGGTAGGTAAGATTGTTTTTCCACAGCTTAGAGAACAATGATGATTTGGGATCTAGGTTTTTGAAGAAATGCCATGTATTGATTTCTTAGGTTGCTAAATGGAAACAATTATTTTTAGTGTTTTCTTTTGAGCTTTCCTGATTTTGATGTAGCTTCTGAAACT